TAAATACTTGATCATGGCCGGATGGGTTGCTTCGTATTCGCCATTGTACTGACTCACTATCAATTGTGAATCGGAACAGGCGTCTATTTTTCTTGCCCCTGCCGCCTTGCACATGCGGATTCCGGCTAGTAAAGCTTCATATTCTGCCTCATTGTTTGAGGCCTGAAAACTGAAGCGTAGAGCATACTCGTACCTGTCGCCCTCTGGCGACTGACATATGACGCCTGCTCCACAACCATTTGAAGTAGAGCTTCCATCCACATATACCTTCCAGACTTGGTCTGGAACTTGAGAGTCAGGAGGACGAGTCATCTCAACAATAAAGTCAGCAAAGGCTTGCCCCTTCACTGCTTTTCTAGGCTCGAAGGTAACTTCGAGGCTCTGTATTTCTATGGCCCATTTGATCATTCGGCCTGACGACTCCATGATGGTCAGTGGCCGCTTGATAGGTTGGTCTGTATACACGACGACTGCATGTGCCAAAAAGTAGGGCTTCAATTTTTTAACAGCCATGAAGAGTGCAAGACCAAATTTCTCCACTAAGGGATACCTCAACTCGGCATTTTTCAGTAGGTGACTGACAAAGTAGACCAGGAGCTGACAGCCGTCTCTTTCAGCAAGGAGAACAGCGCTTAACGCATGATCAGAGACGGCCAGGTACATGTAGAGTACTTTCAATTTCTGGAAGGCCGCCTCAGCATCCGGCCCCCGTTCAAACCTTGCCTTTTTCTTAATTGCCTGGAAAAAGTATAGGCATTTGTCGCCTGATTGGCTTAGAAATCTTCCCAAGGCCGCCAGACAACCTGTTAACTTCTGAACCTCTCGGATGGTACGAGGCGACTGCATGTCGATGATCGCCTGCACCTTCTCAGGGTTCGCCTTTATTCCTCTCTGATTGATAAGGAATCCGAGAAATTTCCCAGACTCAACTCCAAAGAAACATTTCCTGGGATTGAGCATGACATGGTGCCGCCTGAGTGTGGCGAAAGTTTCTCGGAGGTCCGACAGATGATCTTTCTGAAGTTTAGACTTGACAATCATATCATCAATATATGCCTCGACATTTCTCCCAATCTGATCAAAGAACACAGTGGTTATCATTCGCTGGAAAGTGGCCGGGGTATTCTTAAGACCAAACGGCATGACCGTGTAATAGTATAACCCCTGATCAGTGACGAAGGCCGTCTTCTCCTGATCTTTCTTCCATAAAGGAATTTGATGAAAACCAGAGTAGGCGTCCATAAAGCTCATCAAAGCATGGCCGGCTGTTGAGTCGACCAGGTTATCAATTTTAGGCAGAGGGTAACTGTCTTTGGGGCACGCCTTGTTTAAGTCTGTGTAGTCTACACACATTCGCCAGGTGCCATTCGGCTTTTTAACAAGCACCACATTTGCAACCCAGTCTGGGAAGTAACATTGCCGAATGAACCCTGCGTCAAGTAATTTTTTAACTTCGGCGGCTGCCGCCTGACTTCTTTCTTCGCCATGGTTCCGCTTCTTCTGCCGTACCGGCTTCTTTTTCGGATCCACGGCCAGTTTATGTACCGCCAGATCAGGACTAATGCCTGGCATTTCATGGACTTCGAATGCAAAGATGTCCTTGTATTCTTTCAATAGTTTGTGAAAGTCGTCACCTAGGTCCCTTAGAGCAGTCGTCCCAACCTTGATTGTTCTGTCAGGACACGAGTCATCTAAGATCAGGTCCGTATGCTCACCAGCTGGCTGAGGGCGGAATTCATCCGACCGCTCCTCTGCCAATGATTGCTATTTTCTGTCTTTTCTTGCGGCCCCTGTCTGGGATGCCTCTCTCTTCTTGCCGCCTGCTTTTGAACAGGCGCACTCTCCTTGACATTGTCAAGGTCTATTTTTCCACCGCTCGACCCAGTGGCCATAACAGTGGGCTTGACATTCGAGAGATAGCACTCTCGGGCCATCCTCTGATCTCCCCTTAGGGTCCCGACTGTTCCATTATCCCTCTCAAACTTGAGCAACATAAGAGATGGGATTATAACAGCCTTGGAATTATTCAGGGTTGGTCGTCCCAAAATCATGTTGTAGGCCGAGAGTTCTTCTACTACCAGGAACCGGACTACCATGTGTCGTCCTTCCCCTTTTTCGCCCAGGCAAATGGGTAAATCCACTCGTCCCACTGGGTGGACGACTCCTCCTCCAAACCCTACTAAAGGGTGGGATGCCGGATGTATGCAATCTGTCTGATATTTTAGTTTCGACAGACATTTGCTACTGATGAGATCTGAGGAGCTTCCGGTATCTATGAGGATTCGGCCAACTCTCTGGTTGGCCACTTTACATTCAATAACGATAGGGTCGTCATGCGGCCCTCTTACCCCTCCTAGATCTTCTTCAGTGATGACAATCTCAGGAAATGAATATTTGTAGGGCCGTTCTTGGTGAACGAAATTTACATCTAACCGTCTGATATTTTCTTTGTTGCCCCTAATAGTGGGGCCGCCTCCTGAGAAGCCGCCTGCAATGGTGTAGACGACTGCATCATCTGTATCGGAGCTGTCAGCCTGTTGATTCTTTTTGGTCGACTGCTTTTTCGAGGAAGTGTTCCCCGTAGATTTCTTGACATAAGTGTCAAGGTCACCTTGCTTAGCCAGGCGGTCCAGATACCGCATGAGAGTGATGCATTCATTGGTGTGATGACCAACATCTTCATGATAATCACAGAATTTTTCTTGGTTCCGATTGTTTGCAGAACCCTTCATGGGGACCGGCTTCTCAATTGAGATCCGTCCCTTGATTTCCTTTAGGATAAATTGGCTATCCTTGTTAAACACATACTTTGGGGAGTATGGTTTGAATTCTTTTTTCTTCTTCTGGGACGGTTGTTTAGAGGAATCAGTTGCCCAGACCTCTTTTCTCTTCTCGTCTTTGTTTGACGACTGCTTCTGTCGTCCTTCTCTTTTGTCGGACCTTTTCCCGTCTGACTGTTTTACCGTACTACAAAGATCAGTCGCCTGTATATAGGCTTCCGCTTCAATCAAGGCCTCTTGAAGAGTCGCCACCCTCTTTCGGACCAAATCAAATTTGAAGGTCGACCCGTCTTTGAGACCTCTGAAAAAGTCAGTATAGGCTACTTCATCCGGTAACCCTTGAATCTGTATTCTCATCAGGTTAAATCGCCTGATGTAAGAACGAAGCCCCTCCTTCTCGCCCTGCTGAATTGTTCCTAAATCAAGGGTCGTCTTCTTCGCAGGGATGTTCATGGCGAAGTTGGAGGTGAATAAGTAAGCAAGCGTCTTGAAGTTATTTACACAACCAGTCGGCAGGTTGCCGAACCATTGTTGTGCGATTCCTTTGAGAGTCGCTGGGAAACACTTGCACCAAGTGGGATCATCCAACCCTTGAAGGTACATCAGGTTGGTGAATGCCATCAGATGGTCTTCTGGGTTAGTAGTGCCGTCATAGGCGCCTACTAATACATTTTTCACTTTGGCCGGCTGAGCGGCTTCAGTAATTTCCTTGGAGAAGGCCGACGGCTGTTCGCCAAGTCTAAGCAACCGTAGCTGCCAGTCCATAGGTTGGACATTTTTTGCTGCATGCCCACCAAACGGAGGTGGCTGCAAAAAATACTGTTGTTGTGGTACAAACGGTAAGTTTGGTACCGCCTGGTCGCTATGAAAGCCGGACTGACGGGAGGTGCCGCCTGACTGACCCTCATGATACGACTGAGTATGCCTCATCGAGGTATTTCGCAGACTGTCTTGGAAGTTTGAAGTAGAGGCCGACTCTGACAATCGGTCACTCTTCTTCTGCTCTAGCAGTAGCCGAGCGTCTGTGTATGTTTTCCTCGACCCGTCCGCCTGAATATGACGAACAGGTTTCCTCTTTCCTGGAGTAGGAAACGGTATTTTGTGAAATCAAGGGCAGGCGGCTCCCTCTTCCTAGATTTAGGATGAGGGGTCGCCTCTCGCCCTTGAACTGGCTTCCTCTTCCGTGAAGTGGAGGGTTTCTTAGCCGACTGCTCCTTGTCCAGAGCAGGCGGCTTCTTGTTGATCAACTCTTGAATTTCTCCCTTGAAGTCCCTCATGAAGGTCATGAGTTCGTTCCTTGTGATGGGAGCAGACCCATCAGTCGGCTGCTGCCGAACAGGTGGTGCGCCTGTTGGCTCACTTCCAGTTTGAAGATGTTCCCGTTCCCTCCTTTCGGTATGACGGGTACGTCGGGCCCTTAGGGTCCCGTCTGAAGCTGTGTGAGCTTCAACTTCAAATTCATTCTCAGTATCGTGGTCCGACTGAACTAGAGGGTCGTCCAGGGGACGCCTCTCTTCAGGAGCCGGTACAAACGTGGATGCCATCTCAGAAGTACTCTCCCCACAGACGGCGCCAAAATGTTTCGGGGTTTTCTGATGTCCTGCGGGAGAATTACAATTCCGAGACTGGAACCGGACGCCTGTACCTGCAAAACAAACGGATGCTCCGGATGATTGGAGATCCGCCTCCGACGGTCAAGTTAGTACTTGATTAAGGAGTACTTAATGCGGAAATTAAAGTGATTGGGTCTCTCTAGGTGAGAGTGTTTAATGTGTGTAATCTGCGTTCTCCCCCTTAATGAGGATTAAGGGAGGTATTTATAACCTCGGGAAACGTGCCAATCTAGGTTTAGGTTAACCTTGGGCTGATTGGGCTTCCCTCGGAAGTTGGGCCTAGGTGACCGGCTTCTCCATTTGGCATAGAGTATGCCACGTGTCATGACATAATAAGTCCAGGGTGGACGAATAAGCGTGTGCCACGTGGCAAGCCCTGAGAGGTCCAACTATGGGACACTTGGCAGGACCTGATTGGCCCACGTGGCGCATTCCGATTGGTGGGAGCAAAATCCCCTAATCAGAAGTTATAACCTATGAGCCGTGTTTTTTTGTATTGCTATGTTTCTTAGGATATTTGTTCCCCGATTTCACTCTTTACAATTTGTTTAACAGACATCCCTTTTTTTTTTTATTTATTTTATTTTTATTTTTTTAATAATAACAGGGGAAGATTCCTTTGATTGGCTGTGGTGGTGTTGGCAGGTTAATTTTTTAACTCATAGCAGCATTACTTCATTAGTATGTTAGTGTAAGTAAGATCATATTTAACCTTATAAGCCATTTGATTGATTTTGCTACTCTATTGTTTTTAAATCAGTGGTGAAGAGGCGTACAAGAAAATACGTTCTGGAGCTACACTAGTTCAGTTGTACACTGCATTTGCCTATGGAGGACCTGCCCTAATTCCGCGAATAAAGGTATATTATTGCTTTAGCCACCATTATGGGTAGTTCATGTGCAAATGAGATGCTATCTAGGTGCTTGAATGTGAGATCTTTCCTGCTTCGGTAGTGATTACATTAGCTGAAGAGCAGGGCCTTAGTGGGGTGCACCCACGAGGTCACTCTTGCAGTAGTACCATGCTCAGATTATATTGATGTTAAAATATTCTGTTTCACATTCTTGATGATCTTATCCTTAGGCTGAATTGGCTGAATGCTTGGAGAGGGATGGATACAAGTCGGTCCATGAAGCTATTGGTGCTGATTGCATTTAAGTTCTTGACAGGCAAATTGAGTGCCATGAGCTACCTTAACCTGCTACTTGTGATTTTCTTAAGAGTTCTCAAGGAGAAGCAAGAAAGTGTAGCAAGTCCACTTTGCTGAGATTTGGAAGTCAGCTCTCAGACAAGGGAAAAATTCATCAAGTGATTGATTGAATACACTGCGTGTATTAAATTATATTTCTCCCACATTACATGGTTTTTAAGCCCTGCTAAAGAATGTTGGGTTTTCCTTCAACTTTCATTTTGTTAGGTTTGGGGAGTTTCGCTGCACCCGAGAGCATATAAATGGTTAATTAGATAGGGATGTGAGAAATTTTTTGATGGTGACATGTAATGGTTATTATTACACTGGAACACTTAGGAATTGTAAAGTTCAGACATACATTTGATTATTTGAAAGTGCTTAGAGCATACCATGGAAGGGTTCGCGAAAGAATACGAACTGCTTATCTTTGGTGTAATAAAGTCTTACAACACATTGTTTGAAAATGGAAGGAGCAAAGAACTTTGTTATGTACGAATGGAACTAGGGGATGAATTTCCGTCATGAAAGTCTTGAGTTCATGACGTACCTAAGTACGAAGTGGTAAGTATCTAGTTAATTTCATGGTCAACAGATAAGGTAAACTGTCTACTTTGGAATAAACTTGGGATTCTAGTGGCAGACATGCCATGATATTGTCTCCCTTAAGTGGTTGACTATGAACTTTAGGGTGGAATTTCAAGTTTTGGACACAAGCTAATCTGATAATTAATAAGTCATCACATGAAATTCTATGACAAAGCATACTTTGATCAGATTACTATAAGTAAACTGTGTTAAAATGTAGTCAATGTCAAATTATTTTAGGAAAATTGTAAACTAATAATCTCATCTTTAGTGCGTCTTCCATAAACAATCCCACCTTTCGAAATTCCAGAAATAATCCCACCTATGGTAGGGATCTTCCATTAACAATCCCTGACCGATTTGATTATTTTAGTAACCGGATTTCTTAGGTTTAAGACACGTGTCGGATTTTAATAGGGTTATTCTAATTTTTAATAATTAAAAAAAAAGCAAAATTTATGTAAAAAAACTAAAACCCCCAACCTCTGCCGCAGCCCCACCACTGCATTCCCCTCCCCATCCCCTGCCCTTGCTTTCCCAGCAACCCAACTTACCCCCCAAGGCGCCAGACCCAACCACTGCATTCCCCACCGCATCGCCGCCCTATCCCCGTAGCATTGTTAGTCGTCAATGGCAGATTATTAAGATCAGTTTCCAAGGAAATCATTCGATATCTCGATCACTCACCCTAAATTCAATTTCAACAACAAAATCAACAAACAATTCAAGAAAATAATCAAAACTTAGAAATACTAATTGAATGAAGAGGGTACGAATAGAAATTAAACCACAAAGAAATCCACTAGTTTTTAGGGCTCGCAATTTCCAATTTTCCTGGAAACTCGTTGTTGGGGGTTGGTGATACGAGGCTGGGGTGGGGTTTTTTGGCTGGGGGTGGAGATTTTCGGGGTTGTTGTGGAGGTTTTTCGGGGTGGTTGAAAGGGTTTTCCGGCATGGTTTGGGGTTTATGGTGAATAGGGGGCGGCAAGGGACAAGTGGGTATTCTGGGTGGTGGACTGTGGTTACGGGTTTTCAAGGTGGTGTTTTCGGGGGTAGTTAGGTTGTGAGCTGTCGTTGTTGTTGTTGCATGCAGTCGATGCCGGTGGTGAAGTGGGAGGAGGGTAGCAGCTTGTTGTTGGTGTAAGGTGAGGTGAACGTGGTGAGCAGGTTGGTGCGTGAGGGAGAAGGGTGGAGTTATGGTGGTGGATTGGTGGCCCAATGAGAGAGATTAGGTAGAAGAAAAAAGAAAAAAAAAATTAAACTGCTTAACAGGTTATAGGTCAAAGGGATCGTTAATGGAAGATCCCTACCAAAGGTGGGATTGTTTCTGGAATTTCAAAAGGTGGGATTGTTTATAGAAGACTCACTAAAGGTGGGATTATTAGTTTACAATTTTCCATTATTTTATGCTTTATGATAGAATTTTTTGTGAACCACTACTGTTCAGTTTTTGCAAGTAATTACCTTTTTTTTAAAAAAAGAAAAACAAATATCATCATTTGAAAATTTTTTATATTATCAATTTACCACTATTATTTAATGGCAATTGTGAAAAAAATCCATCTTATAGAGCCCGCCTGAATTGAATCCTAACCATCTGCCACTCTCCCACCTAACCGTACCCTAACCACCCAATACTCCCCTGCACTTGAACCAAACCAGCCACACACCACTCCCCTACCAGTTCACCACCTCCACCTCTCACCCCAACCCAACTCGAAACCCCACCATACCTACCCAGCCACAACCCCAACCTAAAACCCATAAAACCACCAACACTACAACCCCTGAGCCGTAAACCAGGACCTACTCGGCCACCATCGCAACCTAAAACCCCCCTCCTTCCTCTTCACCTTGAGTCCTTGACATACTCACATTCTCTCTCCTATTGCAATACCCACCCACCCCACTGCATCACCTCTTCTCTCACCTCCACGTGTCGGAGCCTCAACGCCAACAACATAATTAAGATGTCGAAAAATTGTAGGTCTAGTGGGGGTTTGGTTGGGTGGTTAAGGTGAGGTTTAGGCGGGGAGAGTAGTGGGTGGTTGGGGTTTGATTCAAGTAGGGGAGGGAGTGATATGTGGCTAGTTCGGGTCAAGTACGTGGGGGTGGTTAGGGTTCAGTTCAGGTGAGCCTCACAAGACATATTTTTTAACCATTGTCGTTTAAATGGTAGTTGTAGTCAAACAAATCTTCAAATAATGATACTTAATTTTTTTTTTTTTTTTTAAATGGTAGTTATTCTCAAAAGGTGTAAAAAAAATGGTTATGGTTCCCAAAATATCCTTTAGGATATTATATGATATTGTAGAAAATATCTATGCAATCATTGCATTATTGTTGATTGTAATAGTAGAATATGCGTATATGCCCAAATTTAAGAATTACAAAAACTTTTGTATATGTGTAAGTGTCTAATGAACAATTTTAATTTAGTTTTTAACTAAATTTGGGCAACTTAACCTATTTTGGGATGGATAATTTAAACTTGATTACCTTCATCCATTAAAATTTGATTGTTACCCTTTAAAAAAGGCAAATTAATCAATAAAAAAAAAGGATAACATTAATTAATATTGGTGTCACTTTTGATCATTTAAGGGTTACTTTACAACTACTCGTAATGTACAATACAAATTGTACACTCAATTAGCTTTTTGTCAATTAATGGGAGTACATTTGATTCTTATTGTTTCAGGAAAATAATCAAATTTAGTAGAGAAATTGCAAAACAGTGGTGCATGCAAAATTGGTAGAGAGAATTAATAAAACAATGTTGTATGCAAATTGGTAGAGATGAATAATACTAGTACTACTTGTATAACAGTGGTACAACAAGTAACTTGCATTTGAGAAATTTAAGGCAGATTCTAGTTGGACATTTAGATCAATTTAGCTAGTTCTAATTGTTACATAATACATACTTGGCAAATATTAAACATGCAAAGATCAGACACAACAGTCCTTTTTACATTCATCAGTAGTACATGTTGTGAGGCTTCCGCCTTCTTCACTCACCGTCGTAATTTTGTTGCAACGTTTTCTTCTTCCTTTTGTCGCAATTGCTTGACTAACCATGCTTAGTAAACAACGGATGATCTCGACCTTAATCCTACCCCTCTTCGGGGGCAATCTCTCCTTTTCCTTATTTGCATCAGGGCTTGCAAGTACCATTGCACCAAAAGCTAAGTAGCAAATGTCCTGTAAAGCTAACAAAGAATTAAACAGGACATTCAACTTTCAAGTAGTGTAGCAAGAAAGAAATGGAAAAATTAATTTGTAGTATGATATAAAATGTATCAATATGTATATATATAACAACATTGTGAATCTCTAAAACTGTAGGCAAGATTGAATGATGTTTGGAATGGTGACTTGGTGAGAATATAGGGAGGCAGAGTTGGTGAATGTAGGGTTATAATGTTTCCTAAATCTATTGCATGTTTAGGCAAAAGTTACGACATGAAGAGACTACTTGCACCGTTGCACGTGTGACTTGATCAAATCATAATTCTTTCCAGTCTCTTACATTAATCATTTTTAATTTGTTATGTACCAACTACAGAGTACCAAGTAAGACATCATTTTTTTGAATGTTAAATGCAATAGTTTGACTCGACTAATTGTTATACACATAGGGAAAAAAACAACTTTAATTAGTACTTAAATCTCTAGTATATATAATGTCTATTATTAAATATCGTTATTTTGTTACCGAGTTAAGCTTGGTCTAGTTGTAAGGAGGTTAGAGGTTTAATCTTTATTAAAGACACTTTGAGGATGGGGATCTCTTACCCTTCCCTCCTTACTCTCAAAGTATCTGACCCACAAATACCGGAACAAAAAATCGTGAGAATTGAGGTCACTCTCCTTACCTTGCAAAAATATTTTTACCTTGTTTGTAGATGGTGTTTGCATATATACATGCCAAAAAAAAAAAAAAACTCTAATAATTCTATTATTCATGTATTCTGTCATTATTAACGACATTATTATGATTATCATAGAAATTAATGGGAAAAGATAATAAAGTTTGCATTAATCAAACCCAATGTTACTGTCGTCCGACTTTTGTTATATGATGAAGCAAACTTAATGAAGTTAATGTCTGGTCAAGCTCAACTTGTTACACTGCCATTTGAGTTAAATTTCAATTATTTCAAGCTCAAACAAAATTTTACTACCTCCGTTAATTTTTATGTGCAACTTTGGAATATTTTATACCTCACAAATAATACCCCAAAGTTGCACATAAAAATTAACAGAGGTAGTACAATTTCTTATACCCTATATTTTTTTAACTACACGCCGACTTTTTACACTATTTAGGTTTTTGACTTAATTTTTTATTCATATATGTTGTTGAATTAGTCATAATGTATACTTTCACAATACAATATTATTTTATTTTTTTGCTGCCTACTCTAAAATGTGATATTACGAGTAATAAATAAACTCTTTTTTTTTTTTTTTTTGGAGAACACGAGAGTAATGAATAAAAACTAGAGATGTCAATTCAGGTATTCAAGTCGGGTTTGAGTCGGGTCAAATCAGGTCTCGGGTCCAATCGGGATCAGGTTATACTGTGTCGGGTCAATCTAGCCTCAGATCAGGTTTAGGTTCCAATCGGGTCAATTTCGGTTCAAGTTATTTCAGGTCGTTCATCCTTTCGGATGTAGGTCGAGTCCGATTCGAGTCAAATTCATAACGGGTTTAATTTCAAGTTCAGGTTGTATTGAGTCGGGTTTGGCCGAGTTAATAGATGGTACATTTGGGTTCGGGTTAAGGTTGGCTCAGATAATTATTTGGTCAGATAATCTTAAAGTTGGATCATTCTTGGTTTTGGTTCAAGTTCAATTCGAATAAATTCGACGTGGTTAAGTTAATTTATTTAATTACGCTCTGCATAATTTGTTCAAGCATTATTATCAAGATTTTATTACACCTATATACGAAGTAATAAAGAACAAAAGGTGTATAAAATTTATTAAACCGTCCACGACTCACTTCAATAACAGAACGTTGGGTTATAGATGTTTTCAGGTTCTAATAGGGTCGGGTACCAGTTCGGGTTCGGATTGTTTTCGGGTCGAATTAAATCGGCTGACGGTTACTATCGGTTCGGGTGCGGATTCGGATTCAGGTCATAAAATATTGAATCAAATCAGTTTTCAGTTAACATCGGGTTGGTTAAGGTCGTGTTACGGGTCACTAATTTCACCCCATTGTTCGGGTACAAGTCAGGTTCAGATCATTATCAATTCAGGTCGGGTTCTCGGGTCGGGTCAATTTTTGACAGCTCTAATAAAAACTAAGAGAAGTGAAGTCACTTAAAAAGGGACAATTTTGCAATAGCTAGAATAATATTGTGGTCATTATAATTGAGTAAATCTCAATCCTTCAGTTAACAAGACTCATCTTATCCGTTCAGGTAGATGACTTTTAAGATATAAAAAAAACCATATAAATAAATTTTCCACTTCAATTCTGAAACATCGATTTAAGATGGATTTTTATTTTATTTATTTATTTATTTTGATGAAATAGCTTATCTACAATATATAATTTGTTTATCTATATTTTAAGAGGATTATTGTAAGATTTGTAACTTGAAAATTAAAAAACCTATCGCACTGCTTTCAATTGCTTTTACGGAATACATTTCTCTGTTTTTGCCAGGATGATATAATACTCCAATCACACAAGACCACATACAAACACATGACACATGTATGATACTATGATCTGATGAACATTTCTTATATTTGAATTGGTTTTGTTTTTGCAGGTATGGCGACTAGCATCCTTATTTTTTTACAGTAAAAAAAAAACAAAAAAAAAAAAAAACAAGCAAAACTGTTTTTTATGCATAATATCATAATATGACTAGCATCCTTATTTTTTAAATTTTTTTTACAGTAACAAAAAAAATATTAAGAAAGTTGAATAAATGGAATCCATAAAAAATAAAGGGTCAAGATTAAAACCAATTACAATGACTACAATTTTATTGTAGCCATTAAAAAGCATTCCCTTAAAAAGACCTAAGAGAATATAATGTTCGCTTTTTTGTTTTTTTTTTAATGTTAAGAAATACTGTACTACGTATATATGCTTAATAAGACCTAAATTTAAGGAAGTGAAGTCAAAGTCAGCTGCTAGTATGAATAAATGATTCATGAAGCCAACAGTAATTCCATGCCAACATTATCAATTCCATAAATTACTTGTTCAATCAATAAATCACTTTGTCTCCTTTGAAAATGCTTTACGCGTCAACAGATTTGTCAAGTCATTGTGAGACTCAGTGTTCCATAATCAAACAATGTGAACAAGAAAACATAGTCAATACCATATCATAAATGTTTGCAATAAACATACTGCTAGACTGCTAGTACTAAATTTTGATTATCAAACAAAAAATCTAAGAGTAAAATCCAATCATTTAACCTTAGACGTGTCAAAATGTCAGGTAATGATTGGAAGAGTCCGTCGATATGTTAGTTTGGGTCATATTTTAATCAAGTTGGAAAATTTTGACACGTTCCCGGACTATAGTAGTTATGGTATTGTTTACACAAATTTCGAGTCTAAATAAATAAAGACAAGAAATAAAGTAAAAAATGAATTTATATTAATATGTGATTTTTGGGTACAATCTCTGAATAAAAGTTTATAATAAAATAAACTAAGTCCTCTGATTCTGTTCCGTAGCTTGACGATGACATGTGTGTGACACCTATAGGATACTCCTGAACGAGGGCTTTAAAGCTTAGTCCCGTTCAAATGTGTGTGAGTGTATCTGAACAAGTCGGCACAAGTTTGATGTGCTTGTTGACTTACTTCAGAGAGAATTCCGTTTGAGTTTTATGAGCTCTTGGAATAATGATTTCTGGATCCCCACAACTAATGGAGGAATGGTGTATATATAGGAGATGAGAACCCTTGAGTGGACTTAGTAGGTTTGGGTCTGACCCATTTAATGACTTGGAAGTCTTTTAACCTGGTCCGTTTGATTTATTTTATAACCCGAATTGTATTTGATTAATTCGGATTAATTATTTGGGTGGGCCAAAAATAATTAAAATGGATCAGTAGCATGATTTAACCCAAATTAATTAATTTAATTTAATGTAAAACACTCATAAAATTTCTGTGTCTACAGGTATAACCGGCAGTATTATGCTTATTGTACAAGTAAAACTATATATCACTTTATTTGCTCATTTGTAGTTCATTGAAATTAACAGATTTAACTAAAGAAACAATAATTTTGGTAGTACCCCATAGCCCTTACAATACAAACTCTGCATTTATTGGACAGGTTCCTGATGAGCTCGGAAGTTGGTACTCGACCAGCTTAGCATGACAGCAGAAGTAAAAGATAAATGGAAGGGTTGATTGACTGCAAGGCGCATAATCATTTTAAAGGGAGTACAACAACAAAAACAACAACAAAGCCTTAGTCCCAAAATGATTTAGGGGTCAGCTAACATGAATCATTTAAAAGGGAGTACTGATCAAAAACTAAATTCTACACTTACAGAATTCAGAACTCTAATAGAGGTATAATTGGTGAACAATACCATTCAAAAGGTAAACAAACTAACAAGTAACAAACATATCTCGAAGACCAAATATAGTATTTTCAGTGGAAACATCCTTTAGAACTCAGAATATCATCAAATTATAGACACTAAATCATGCAAGGGATCATGAAAATCAAGAATACACATTATACTTAAGCTCAGCACTTTGATGAAATTAAATTAATTTTTCTAGCAGCCAGTAGAGGCTTGTATCTAATCTTAAAGTAATCATCACTTCGGTGGAGCAAGAATGGTGTAAATTAACAATAACGAGACTATCACAATGGCTAAACCTAGAGTAAACCTGGGGCTAGTCCATAACATGAGGTTTGATCTCTCTGTTCTCTTGATTGGATCAACCTCTTCAGATAAAGGGTAGTTTGAACGCCTTGGATTCCAGGTCACGTATTTGTTTGGAGAAAACTGTGATGAGAAGCTCTTCTTCCCCTGCTTCTTGAAGCTTGACCATGCTTTGTCCCAATCAGTAGAGAATTTGTCACCTAGAAAAATTCAAGATATTATACTTTGTTCCTTATTTTGAAAGTGTACTAATTTCAATGTAAAGCAAGTCAAGCCCAGTAGTATGTCAAGAAATAGCCATATTCTTGACTAAAGGATAGTATTTGGACCAACTTGCTTGGTGTAGTTAATACGCTTATAAGGATTCCTACAAGTTTGAGTCCTGCTCCAACTACGATTCGAAGGGGGGATTTCTCTCATCTTCCCCTCTACAAAAAGGGGGGAAAATGCAAGGGACCTGGCTCATAAAGGCTGTACCGAGTCAAGCCAGGTCCCTGTTGGGTCCATTCATCTTTCCTTCTCCAGAAGAAAGAAAATTAAGTGATTATTAGAATCCGAGACCACAAGTTAGTGTAAAGACTTTATAGAGAGACTAAACTCTAATGAATCAACTGTTGCCTGAAAAAAAAAAAAAAAAAAAAAAAAAAAAAAAAACTGAAATGGAAAAGATTGTGCAGGCCAAACAAATCAAACTAACACCGTATTCTTTGGAATAGACTTCTCCTGATCTGGTTGAGGACACCAATGTCTAATAGAGTTCTTGGTAAAGAAAGATGAAGAAGAGGTGACAAGCAATATCATCTGTCTGAATGCAGAACAATACATGAACCAACCTCAATAACATTCTTTTTCCTTATTTTTGTTTTTGACTTAAACAGAAATGTCACTTAAATTTATCTTTACATGTAGATTTGGATTTTGTAGGACTAAACATATTTATCAACAAAACCAAAGAGTTTGACATGCTCAAGAGAAAGAAATTCATTAAAATGTATATTGAATAAAGAAGTGATTCAAGCTTGATATCTTTGTATAAAGCTCAGTTAAAAATGGATATATTGCGGCAAAGCAAACATGGGAAAGGTGATGACAAGCAATGTTTAGTTTCACAAAGATAATGCTATGAACAAGACGCAAAAAAATGAGAGACCATAAAATGATTAAGTCCTTGAATGATGCAAATACAGGAAGTCAGAACTCAGAAACAAAGCAAGTATCTGACTATTTTAAGAAATCCAAGTTTCTGTTCCATACTTCCATATAATCATTGAGAAAATTTCTTATGAAGGGAATACCGACTACTTTTCAAGACAGGATAATACGGAGAGAGCTTCAAATAATGATGCTAAAACAATCTAAACCTATCCTAAATATACTAAGAAAGGAAGGAATGATATGCGTCAAGACATTTCATACTGGACCCAAAATGGATCTCACTGTTAATATTTCACTATATTTGTAAGGCTCTGTAGGCATTAAGAAAATTCTCATCACAATATATTTTAAGCACAAATTTCTATCCGTGTCTTAATAGAAGGCATATAGCATAGTCCTTTTAAGAAAGGCTTCATGCTTCAATGCACAGGACTTGAGCTCAAAGCTGTAATACCAGTAGTATTTCAAACTATCAAACTATATTCCTTTAAGAAGAGACTAGAAAAAAGGGGCTCATATTTTTGTTGGTACAAACTATTAACAAAGACTAGAAAAAAGGGGCTCATATCTTTGTTGGAACAAATTATAAACAACACCATGGCAAGTTTGAGAAGGTCACATGGAGAAGGTTCTCATATGTCATAACAAACACAGTCCAAGTATTTTTTCAATCACGTGACACTTCTAATAAACCATTAAGCAATTTGCAGTTCATGCAATGGTAATCTTGAAAGTTGAAACAACCCAACACTTGTTCTCAGTGCCTCTTTACTGATGCAATTTGGTGGTGGAATAATCCTGAAGATGTTGGGGTAAGGTCAGGGCTGGATTATGAGCTAATAGAAGCTGTAAGGATCAAAAGGAAAACCACCCACCCTTCAATTCGTAAAATATGCATTTTATAGAGTCTATAGATCATATTTGGTTGTGCTGAACTGGGAAGGTTCTTATTAAAGAGATCATTTTTAAGGCTGCTCAAAGGTTATCTTGTTGATTAAGGTAATTTTTGAAGTAATTCATAGCACCTGCTATGTCAGGCAACTTGTCGCTTCAATTTTAAATCCCTGTTAAAAGCAGTCAGTCTGTTGATATTAAGCTATCTACAGTCTGATTGTTTCAGATTTCTGATTGTTAATTGCCAAAATGGAACAGACTAGAAATTAAACAAAAAGAAATTTGACTTTCTAGCTCAGAAGCCTCAGATACAATTTCTTACAACTCCTAACATGCTGCTCTCTAATTAAATAGTTCATTCATGAGAATATTATACCTAAAAGGATATAAAGATAGCAGGTAGCACAAAAGTAAAAGATAAGCAGCCACTAGCATTATAGTAGACTTGCATGGACTTACCCTCCCCCCCCCCCCCTCCCTTTAAACGTTTAAAGATCCCAAAAATGGTGAGCCTTTGTCACATGGAAGTTCCAACGAAATCCCAATACTATACAAAGTAAGAATTCAAATGCAAAATGCGCTAAGGTACAAGACAGTTGAGAAGGGGTTAAGGATATGAAGGTCCAAAAGACGGAAATAAATTTGTGCTTCTCCAATTCTTCCTGAAGTCCAGATAGAATACTTTCATGAAGACTCAAGAGACAACCTACCACCATAATAAGCACAGATATAAACCAAGATCATTCCATTAAATATACTTATGTACTTGTATAGTTTAGCCATCACAATGTATTGCTCAATTATTCGAAATCCACTACCTAATGTCAATTAGTATCCAAGTAATCCCAAACATGCTAACATAACCCAAACTCGGGGTCCAATTCGTCTTGAATATATGTATCAAATCAACCCACAAATACCCAATTAGCCTAGAGACCAAACCAGAACAACCAACAAACCTAAGTTCATATTCCAAACCCTCACCCAAAAATATTCCTCAAATTGTAATAAACAAAATTAATCTAATGCTAATACAGCTAAAATAAATGACAATATATCAACATATAATAGTTTTCCTAAGATTCTAAAACCTTCAGTCAATTCAGCATCAAAGTACAAACAAACAAGATTGCATAATAATAAGAAAATAATTGCTCCAAATTACAGGAAAAAAAATACAAAATTTGAGATGGGTTTTCACTAAAAATGATGAATTAAATCAACAATTGAAAATATAAACTTTTTTTTACCAGTTTTATTGTCTTTTGCATCATCATCATCAGGGTTTTGTTGGGGTTGCTGAGAGTTTTTCTTGGAGCAAAAAGTCTTGAATGATTTAGAAAAGTTGAAGGAATTTGATAAGAAGCTGCTTCGTCTTGGCTTTACAATCAAAATATCCATTTTCATCATTTTCTCATTGCATGTTTGAAATGACTCTGCTAACCAGTGGTTTTCCAGTTTACTACAAGCCACACCTTCAACGATTCTTTATTGGTTGCTTACTACCCACAGCTAGTCCCACATAAATTAAGAGATTTTTTTTTTTCTATAAAGTCTAAGTCTAAGAGCGTGTTCTTTTCAGCTTATTTTCAATTCAATTTAATTTAGGTTCACTTTCAATAAATTCAGTTCAATTTTTAATTTTCTTTGTTTATAAAATATTCATTTTAGTTCAGTTCAGCTTCAATAAGTTTAGTTCAGTTTAGTAATGTTCTGATTTACTTGAGTTGAGCTGAACTGATTGGAGCTGAGCTGTACTAAACTGAGCTGAAATGAATATTTTATAAGAGGAGAAAATTAGGAAATAAAATTGAATTGAACTGATTAGAGCTTAACTAAACTGAAATTAAGCCGAAGAGAACAAATTCCTATATTCTAACTTATCTAATCTCACAATTTGCTATATTTGTTTTTGTGCCACACAGATAATGATGGGATAAAGCTGTTGACTTATTTACCAAAATTTCATGTGCTAAACAATTTTTTATTTTTTTATTTATCATAGTAATTAACATGCGCATATTCAATTTTAAAACTTTTATTACTTTAAAAATTTAAGGAAAAAAATGGTGAGATGAGATATATTTGTATATTTATCTCAAAGATAAAGTATAATTTTCTTGATATATTCATCTCTGTCTCAAACCCAAATAATCCTCCCTCCATGTTTTTTTAGTGCTACATTTACCCTATCCATTTTTTTCCTCCTAACATTTAAGTAAAAAATATAAAGATATATATAAGCCTTAATTTATTTGACCCAAAAAAAATAAATATAAATATAAGTATAAATATATAAGTGTAGACACCCATTTGTGTCTCTCCAAAACCAAACCTAGTGATGAATACCTTTCGCGTCAAATCATAATCGAATGAAGTAAAAGTGTGGAAAGTCTAATGTTGTGGATAATTTTTTTTATTAAAAATCTTTCTTTCTGTTTTTGAAAACTTACCCTATTTATGAATTACATGCATTCCAGTTAGTTTGGTCCATGATATGGGTCCAATAATAGTGTAGTTGGATGGGGTTTAAAAAGACCTTTCCAACGATGTATTATAAGCCCAATTCCGATGAATAATGAGGAAGTTATGACCAAAATATTAAACTAGGTCCGGTTTGGTTCTTACATGCGGCCCGATGATCTAGAGGAGGGTCTATTATGAATTATCATTCCTAAAGCTATTTAGGATTGATTATAGTATTCTAGAATACTCTAGAAGGTTCTCTTAAATCCTAATGGAGTTAGGATTGATAATTATGTTTCAAAGAGTTTGAAATGGAAAAAAACTACTCCTTTTGAGAGTCCTTGTTTTGTAAGAAATGGAATATATTCAGATATTATTTTTTTGCCTCATAATCTTTATCCAACTCTTATATGGTTGGATAGATCTTGAAATTATCTTTCCAATGATATATTAAAATATTAATTCCAAGGTATAACGAAAAAGATATGAATGAGATACGAAACTCTATCCAAAATTGATACTCTTCTACTATTTCGGCCATTCTTTTTATCTACAAGTATTTTAATCTGATTCTAATTGGGTTAGAAATTAGACTTCAAGAGATTTCCAACGACATATTATATGACTTATTTGGACTTTTGGTCAAAAGATATGGTAAAAACAAAATCCGCAAAAACTGTCCTGCATCGCCAAACGACAGGTTTGTCGCCTGGCGACAAAATTGTCGCCTGACAACAATTCCTGTTGTTGGCGAAAGAGATGTGTTTTATTCATTTTCGAACTCTGATTCGTTTCTATCGATTCTGGACTATTTTCTTATAAATAGGGTCCCTGGACTCCCGTTTTCAATCATCAACTCTTAACCAGAATTCTCTAATTTTTCTCTCTCTCTCTAAGCTAAATCTTACTCTCTCTCTCTCTCCCTCTTTCTAGCCTAGCCTTTTACAAACACAATTCCTCATACATTAGATCTAGATGCATCTAGCCAAGTTCGAAGTTGTCTTTGCCCTAGACATGAAAGGTTGATAATTTATGAGGGTTTGGTCCTAAATCCAGTCTAAACTTTTTAACTCTCTCTATTTCAATTATTTAATTTAATTGTTTGTTTTAATATTTTTCTTGAAGTTACTAACGTGTGTATTTTGTTATTAGAAAGAGGTACGAGGCATCCAAGTAAGTGCTTTAATTGTTTTATTGATATTTTGATATAGAAATCATGTTTAGGTTGTTATTTTGATTCCTAGAATCATGTTAGGATGCTTTTCTTAGTATCATGTTTAGGGTAAAGAATAAGTTTCTAATATCGATTATGATTTCTATGATGCTTCTTATTTCCTTTCTTAATAGCATGTTAGTATCATGTTAGGGTTAAAGCTTTGAATTTTTTTTTTTTTGTTTAGTTTATAAAGCTTTGGAACAAATTATAAACAACACCATGGAAAGTTTGAGAAGGTCACATGCTAGGGTTTGTTATTAATCTTGTTAGTATCATGCCTAGGAAATTGCTATTATTATGCTTAACATGATTATTTTAATTATGATTGTTATTTTGTAATTATTATGATTGTTGTTATCATGATGATTTATTATGTTTCTTGATGATTATATTTATTGTTATTGCTTGATCACACCTTTTATGCATATTTAAAGGGAATTTGTACTTGTAATCACGCTTAATAAGATAATTAATAATCTTGTTTAGGGTTAATATGATTATAATTTAAGTGATCGCCAATAATAGTTTTATTTGTGCATTAATATTCAACCAACATAGATAAACAAGTTTAGGGTAAACCTAAAGATTGCATGTTAGTCAGAAAGCACACATGAATACGAGTAGAATAAAGTAAAGGCCTATTATTAGGGAAAGTTTAATCTCTTTTAGGTTGGATTTGTACCTTCATCCCCGAACTTCTAGTCTTGGTTCCAGACCTATTGGAGTTAACGATCTCATGGATCGTTAAGAGGTGTAACCTTCACCATGTGAACAGTTTACAAGTTCCTAAAACTTGTTGGCGACTCTTTTGCTCTAACTTCCTTCCCTTTGGACGCCACCGTAATTTAGTGTATGATTACAGTGGGGTTCAAGTTTGGGATAACGCTTGAAATATTCCCTACAATAAGCCTTACTTTAATCGGTTCGTCTATGATGGTTTGCCCTATAACACTAATGAAGTAACCTCTATGATTGTTTACCACATGGTGTGGCCAACCACATATAAAAATTAGTGTAAATTGTTTTATTAGTTTGTTTTTCAGCTCGTCTTGTGTGTGGCTGGTAATATGATGTGGCTGATTTTAAAAGAACATAATAACCCCTATTGTTTTGGGGTTTTCCTGGTCCCTGGGAAGAGTTACGTCACTAAGTCTAGAGTCTTCTGTCTGTACCTGCAAAATAACGGAGACTCCGGGTGGTTGGAGCTCCGCTGTAATCCCCCATATTTTCAACCTAATTAAAGTATATTTATTTATTATATATACAAATATTTTAATTTTAATTTTATAGTATGAATTATTTTGATGTAAAAGCAATAAGACTTTCATTATTAGTAAGCTAAAACTATTAAGTTTTAATTTAAATCATAATTCCTTTTACGTTAGTAGCACAATGCATAATTTTTATTCAAGCCCAAACCACACAATTCCTATTCCTAATAAAATTAGGAGTCTTTGGTCCAAATAAAAACCCCAAAAACCCTCACACTCCTTTCTCTCTCACGTAAAAATGCATTCACCTCTTTCCTCCTCCTTCTCTGCTATTCACGACTTCACAAAAAAAAAAAAAAACTATTGATGCCTTGCCGTACACCACTGCTGCCGGAGCCCAGACCGGTGCCGCTGCTCCATCGCAGCCCACTAGTTCGCCTTCTTCCCCTATTTTCTCTCCTTTCCTTTCTTTTGTTAATTTAATTAAAGTTTTAATCTTTATTGAAATTTTGTTAATGAATTGTTATTATTATGGTTTAATTATGTATATGAGTTATAACAGATTGCAAATTTATGAAGTACACATGTTTAATTTATAATACAAAATTTCAGATTTTATATTATGTATAATTTAGGTTTAGTTGTTGATTTTCATGTTTTAGGGCTTGAAAACGTGTCAAGCAAGTTAATTATCAATACTATAATTTCACAATGAAAAAACTCACAATTTTATACTTAAAAATAATTTTCAGATTATATATTTTATGAAATTGGAGTTTTGTTTTGTTTATTTAAAGGATTTTAAGGTTTCAATGTGTAATATACTATTATAACTATTGTATTATGAATTTTGATCATTAAAAGCTTGAAATTTACAACTTAAACTAATTTCTAGATTTTATATAATCCGATTTTTATTGCTATTAAGCTAAAATAAAGGTTTAGAATGTTTCTTCATGTTATTTAAATTGCAAACACTATTAATAAAACAAATTTTCAGCATATGTTCGTAAGTTAAACTTGCTGGAATTTTATGTTATAAGCTATATTGGAATTTTATGTTATAAGCTATATTTTCATGATTTTAACATATTAACTTATAGTTGAACTATTATTATTAACTTTCACTATTGGGAATAATTTAAAGCCATTATTTCAATGGTTTAGGGAGTTTTAAAGTATTTTGGTATTGCTGTAAATTTGATTGATTGGGTATTGATTGAGCTGTTATTGTTTAGTTTAGGAGAGGACTTTATTGAAGGTGATTTCAAGTTAGTAAAGTGGCGTATCAACTTGCTTACTCGAGGTACGTACGAGTTACGAAACCTCGCCTTTAAATGTTGTTTAGGGATGTATCGAGAACCTATTATCATGTATAGAGAAGACTGGGCTAAATTGTTTGGTTATACATTGTGATTTCCGTATATTGTGTATGACGCGTGTTTGAGATATAAGTATATGGGTATTGTAGGCGTCGTTCGAAGTGCGCCTACATTAAAGCATGTGTGAATATGCTTGACACTCATAGGAAGAGGGAATTAACATACGATTAGGGACAAGGAAAGTAGGGAGCCACCAACAAGTTTTTAAGGAACTTGGAAA